TTTTTGTTTTTATTTTCAAGAGCAAAGAAGCTATTGTTTATACAACATCAGGTAAACTAGGATTGAAGATACTTATTGCCGAGAACCAATCGAATACACATAATCTAATTTTTGACGTTGATGTACAACATGCAAAAAATGTGCGGCACTCTCGTCATAGTGGCTTTCCTTATAACACTCATGATTGTATTCCACCTCGACATCGTCAAATAATATTTCTTACAGAATGGGTTGATAGACACGGTGAATCGGCTAGTTTGAATTATGCGTATTCGTACAGTCATGACAAACGAATTACTGATCCAAAGCCACCAATTGACACTTCCCAACATGACTTTCATTCACCACGAGCGGTTTAATTTTGTATATTGTTAAAATGATCAAATTTTTGAATTCGATAATAAAGGGGGTTTATTGTATGGCAAAAATAAATAGATTATTTTGGGGTGGGTGTGGGTATATCTTCTCTTCATTCACACTCCACACCCACCCTTAGCATTTTTCTCAAAACATGGTTTTCAATCAGAAAAATTGAAATCACGCCTTCATATCTCGAGCTATAATCAATATTCTTTTTTTGTTTTAAAGGTCACAACGAGAGTAAACTTTTCATCAACCAGTTTTTTTTAAGTCGAATCCTGAACTGAGAAAAGTGGAATTTACTGTCGTCGGATGACCGTTTTTTATACTTATTTTAAGACATGTCTACCAAAATACTCATAAAAAATCAATAATAAACAATTTAAAAATTCTGTCTGGCAAAAAGTTGCGTACTGACATTGGCTTTAATTTGAAACCATCCCGAGCCCTATATCTTGTATTACGACTGAGTTATGTTGATTCTCCTGAAGGTCAAAAATTACCTATGAATCAGCTGGAAATCTGGTCCAGTGCGACTAATCGAGCTGAAATTTTTACCAGAAACGTAACTCTCCAGGATCACTCATCCCTGAAACTTTCAGCCTGAAAGGACTATCTTAAGTGGAAAATCGTTTCTGAGGGGGACGGTGGAGCCTTAATCGATTGTATTAAGGTAACAACTTATAGTATAAGATGCAGCGTGAAAAGCTCTACAATTTGCATAAGACAGCTTTTCTTACAGCTGCACTTTTTGTTTTCAAAAGCGACAAAACTCAAAACAAACAAATGTCTGCGCTGAGAAAAAGATATTTTTTTATATTAGTCGCTTTTGAAAACAAAAAGTGCAACTGTAAGAACGCTGTATCGTGTAAATTGTAGAGCTTTTCACGCTGCATCGTTTGGTTTATTTGGTTTTTTAGTAAGGCGAAATAAATGATGAAAATATGGGATGCAAAGTCCGGTCATGCATTATGGCCCACCTATGGTATTTTTTCAGAAATTGGGAAACGTCTAAATTTTTGTATTGACGTTAAAGGTAATACCTTTGAACAATAGTTATCAACTTTTTCTTAATGAATAAAAACTTACTAGTCTCCTCTTTCAAATAAAAAAAGTTATTCCACAAAGCTTGATGGATAATGAATTTAACCGCATGGCTTAAGTGATACGGACTTTCGGGACACTCTGTATAATAAATCAAGATCATCGTTAAAAAAAGCACATTCCGGCACAAGGGTTCAGTTTATTAAGTCAAGTTCCATTCTCATGTGTTTTTCAATATCTCTTTTGTAAAACTTTTCTTCCTAGGAAAAGATGCATATTTCAAAACAAGTCCAGCCGTTGAGCACTTTTATACGGCATGTGATGACAATGGTCGACGAGTTATGTTTTATACTAAAGTTTTACTGAATAGAATGCGAGTGTGTAGCACGCTGGATTATTGTCTCCAATCTGCGCCAAAGAATTATCATTCAGTACGCAGCCATTATCCAATGTACCGAGATCTTGATGAATACATCGTGTATCATTATGGACAAGCATTACCTTATTTAAAAATAACATATAAAGCACAATTTTACACCATTCGATTTCTAAAATTTTGCACCTGTGTATTCGCTTACTGTGTCGCTATTCATTGTAGTTAACACAGACAATTAAAAATAAAATTGAACATTGCTAACGGTGATGTGTTCTATCTACAGGCTTTATTTTTCTTGTTCTTCTTATAATTTGTTAGTTTTTCCTTTCTTAAGATGCCATTTTTTATTTAGGGCGGAGTGTGGGTGTAACTCTTACGCTTATCTTCATCCACACCCACCCACAAACCCACACGCTGCTTTCTAAAATTGATTGATAAAAATAAAAATTTTTATTCATAAAATTGAATAATTTTGCATGAAAGTCATCTAATAAAAATCATTAAAAAGGCAAGAAAACCTCGTCGTGAAGAAAATAAGAAAAAGTCTAACTGTTATTTCACTTTATTTAACCACCTGCCTAAGTGGGAAGTTGCACGTAGACTTTTGCTTATAACTCCGCACCGATTGCCCTTCGACAGGATTTGCAGTGACTTTTCAAAAATTCCTTTATTCTGTGCGCACAGTCCCTGTGGAGCTCAAATGTGCAACTCACATATGCTCTCTAGTCTCATTTAACTAATAAAAAACATGTAAAGTGAAAAATTTCTCATAGACTATAGTTATTTTGCAGGATAATCGATTAATAAAGTTATGGTCGCACTAAATTCTGTATTTCGAGCAGAAACTTTATTTTCTGTACGATCACCCTATATTATTTTATGAGTGTTTTTTAATTTTGAAACTTTTGTCTTTTTTCCTTGAATAGTGGATAGACTATTAATTCGTATCCATAGTTCTTCTCGTCTATTAATGACTATTTTGATTTCATCCGCCAACTGATCATGAAAATCGACTAGTATTCGGTTTCTTATTTCATCAATTGTAGATTTCTATTGATACAAATGCGAGTGTGGATGTAAGCTTCAGTGAAGAATAGACCAAGACCCACACCCTGATGGAAATCTTATGGAATTGCTTCATGGGATGAGTGTGAACATGAATTTGCATGATGAGAATAGATACATCTACATTCGTATCCGTCTTCTCACAGAAACACATCAAATGTCGTGTTAATAAGCACAATTTATGACGATGTTGTTTCTTTGAGTTCGAAGTTAGAGAAAAACTGTAGAAAAGAATATTTTATCCTCATCAAATGATTTCATAAGATCAAGATCGTTTTTCCCGTCGAGAATACACACAAAAATATGATCTTATCGACTGTTTTCATTTGACTTTTTGCGCCATGAACTATCCTGAATGTTTTCTTTGCTACAAAAAGAAAAAACATATATCAACACTTTCATCATGAAGCAATCACCCAACATGACTTCGAGAATGAATAAGTAATGCATCGTCAAGTATTCACATCTGAAAATACTGCTCAGCAACGCTATATTGACTTTCATCCATATTCTACATCATTGAAGAGAAACAGTTAAGGAATGATTGGTCATACTTCTTAGGATTGTATCTCAAATATTGATATGAATGTATCAAATCGAGATATTCTTACTGAAAAGAGAATAAAAATAATTGTGCGCAAACTACAATGATCGCTCTTATTTTCCGAATTCCATGCTGAACATGATAAAAACAAATGTATTTTTTTATAGACAATTTTAGCTTCGACAAGAAAATTCAGCGCCTTGTCTAATCAGTACGTATTCATGTGTCATCCTGAACCTTGTTTTTGAATTGTTTTTCTTTCAAAATGATTTATGCAAGGGGGAAAAAGCGGATCCCGAGATCCAGTGGAATCCAGCGGGATCCAGTGGGATCCAGCGGGATCCAGCGGGATCCAGTGGGATCCAGCGGGATCCAATGGGATCCAGCGGGATCCAGTGGGATTCAGTGGGATCCAGTGGGATCCAGCGGGATCCGGTGGGATCCAGCGGGATCCACTTGAATCCATTTGGATTCAATGTGATCCATTAGCTTCCATCAGGAGCAGGCATGCAGTGAGACGAAGGCTGTCTGCCTGAGCTGTTTCCATCTGCTTTTTTGGGTCGACTGAAATACTCATGTTTCGCTACCTTTCGACATCAAGCAAGATCGAGTGTAAAATAGAATAAGACCTAACGGTTATTGAACATCGGGTCATCGAATCGATTTGATCGTTTTATGCTCAATAACTTTCAAGCTATTGCTGTATATTTTAGATGTTATCTCATTTGATAATATTCGAAGAAAGTGAGAGATGAGATTTTTTCCTGAAAACGAGAAAAAGAAGCCAAGTCTGGACATGTATACATAATCAGGTCAACTGGGTAACTGTGGGTTTCAATGGGATTAACTGGTATCACAAATAAGCGGTCCCAATCGCCGTCTCCGATGTATGTGAAGAATATTAATGGTTTGAAATCGATTATGAACAAGCCAAAGCTCCATACAGTTTGATGGAAAATACATTTCTGCATCGACTGGAATCAAAGTCAGCTTGCCTGTAATTAATTTTGAGCCATAATATTCTTCATATCCATTGGCATTCATTGGGACCCATTTAGGATCCTGGGATCCAGCAGAATCCATTGGGATCTATGAAATCCTGGTATCTGGGATTCGCTTTTCTCCCCTTGCATAAATACTATCTAATTGGTCTGAACCAAAACCCTAGTCCATTTTAACTTCTCTCAATATCAACTCTGATTGAATAATGGGAGACGTGTTGATGAACTACTCCATCCTTCCCATTTTCTTTTATTAGACTAAAATTTCACTTTTATATGTTATATGTAATTCCAATTACCTACCACGCTTTAGCCTTTTTCTTGACAGTAACAAACTTTTGAACAACTTTCTACAAGATGATAATAATTCTGAGAATCTGTCTCATGAAGCAGGCATTAACAGGAAAAAATGATAAGAGTAACTAGTGAAAAATAATATCGCTTAACTACCTCACCCTTAATCGATGCATGTGCGAGTTGAGCGAGTGAAATTGAAAGTTAATATAATCTCAGAAACATTTAAAAATGTCCATTGGGATCCACTGGGATCCACTGGGATCCACCGGGATCCACTGGGATCCACTGGGATCCATTGGGATCCACGGGATCCAACGGGATCCGTCGGGATCCTGGGATCCGGGATCCGCTTTTTCCCCCTTGGATTTATGAATATTTGCTTGAAATTAGTCGATATTATAAAATAACTAATAAAATTTTATGTCAAATTGATGTTAAACGAGTTTAGAGACGCTCTCTATGCCAATCAAGATCACTTGCATTCATTTAATATATCTAAACATTCTGCTGTTTAAGAGAAAGTAAGGTTGAAAAACATTTCTTTTCTCAGGAACTTGTCTTTCTGTTAGAACTCATTGAGATTTTTTGATAATTTTCATATAAGATCGTTTTTTATTTGTTTGTAAATATGTTTTCCGGTGTCACATTAACCTTATGAAAGTCGCAGTTTAAGATCATGATGAAGAAAATTTTGCTCGAGATTACATAAAAAATAATGTTGGACAATGAGATCGCTGTTTACAAAATCGACGTGTAAGAGGCAAATATAGATTAAAAAAATGAGATAACAAAAAGCAAGATAAAAAACACGCATTCTTCTTCAATGTTGCTTTCTCCATATGTGGTTCTATATTCATTCGTTTTTGAATTTATGCTGTAAAACTTGTTGATCTCTATGAATTTCGTTAATCGATTTTTTTCGCATCCTGATCATCAGTTATCTTATTTTCTATTCCTTCATTTACAAATGATACATTTTATACGACATAGAATTCAAATCTTCTTATTCTATACAGACTTGATCTAGGCGGTACCACCGCGACTGAATTTCAAAGAATTTTCCGAAAACTACTCCAATCAATGAACTATACTATTATTCTTGTTAGTATAAACCATCAAATGCATTCAGTCTTACAGAATTGCAGTCATGGACATTGAAGTTCTATAAAAACGCATGTAGTTTTGAAATGTACTACAGAAAAAAGCTACCACAATCTATTATCTATGATAATCATCAATTCAATTATTGATACACGTCTATTGGAATGAACGAAACTTCTTAGATTTTCTTCTTTAAGCTGTGAATCTGGTTTGATTTGCCCTATTATTAAAAATGGTTTTCTTTTACAGTTGCTTTCTGTTGTCAAGAAACATTCGATTTATCTTTCCTGTTTTTTCTTTAGGTTTAGGGACGATGATATATTTACTTTCAGATGAATACTCGTGTTGTCAATCGAGTTCGTCCAACGATGTCGATGAGCTCGGCTCATTATTATCCGAATCGATCACCACTTCAAGCATGTCCATTTCAAAGACTTCCACCTGGTTCGATTCGTCCTGAAGGTTGGTTAAAAATACAATTAAATATGCAATTGACAGGTCTCAATGGACGATTACCAGATATATCTGATTATTTAATCTATGATCAATGTGGTTGGATAGATCCAAAAAAATTAGCTTGGGAAGAAATGCCCTATTGGTTGCGAGGCTTTGCTGATCTTGCTTTTGTAACAGGTGACTTTGATGCTTTGAAATTAGTGCAACATTGGATCGATGGTATTCTAAATAGTCAACAATCAGATGGTTGGTTTGGACCAAATATTCTTCGACATTCACTTGAAGGTAAACCTGACTTATGGCCTGCTATGCTATTAATAAATGTCTTACGATCATATTATGAATATTCAAATGATAATCGTGTTATTCAATTTCTTCTTAAATATTTTCAATTTATTAACAATCAATTAAATGAAGTATTTAAACACGGGTGGGCTTATACTCGATGGTCAGATAATATTGATTCAATTATTTGGTTATTTAATCGAACAAATGATACTGATTGGTTACTTGATCTTATTCATAAGATTCATTCAAATGCAGCTAATTGGATGGACGGTCTTCCAACAAGACATAATGTTAATATTGCACAAGGATTTCGTGAACCAGCTCTGTATTCATGTGTTGTTAATCCTAGTGATCCGCGTTTTATTCAAGCTACTTATAACAATTATGAACAAGTCATGAATGAATTTGGACAATTTCCTGGTGGAGGTTTTGCTGGTGATGAAAATTGTCGTCAAGGTTTTTCTGATCCACGACAAGGTTTTGAAACATGTGGTATTGTTGAATTTATGCATAGTTTTGCAATACTTACTCGTTTGACTGGTGATGGAAAATGGGCTGATCAATGTGAAATATTAGCATTTAATTCTTTACCAGCTGCACTTGATCCATTTTTAGCTCGTTCTACTCATTATATAACATGTCCAAATTCAATTCAATTGGATAATAAATTAAAAACGAAAGGACAATTTCAAAATATTTTTCCAATGTTAGCCTTTATGCCTGGTGTTTATCTTTATCGTTGTTGTGCGCATAATTACGGGTATGGATGGCCTTATTATTCGGAAGAACTATGGTTAGCCACATGGGATAATGGTTTATGTGCATTGATGTATGCTGCATCTCAAGTAACAGCTTTAGTAGGTCCAAATAATGGAATTCCAGTTACTATTATTGAAGACACTGAATATCCATTTGATGATACAATTCATTTTCGTTTTCAATTATCAATACCAACACAATTTAATTTTTATTTACGCACTCCCCAATGGTGTCAACAATCGATTCAGCTTTCAATTAATGGAAAAACTATTTTTCATGAACAAATTTCAAAAGAAAATTCTTTTCTAGTTTTAGATCGAGTCTGGACTAACGATGATATCCTTACATTCAAAATACCAATGACAGTTCAAATGAAAACTTGGTTCAAAAATCATAATTCAGTTTCACTTTCCTATGGACCTCTTTCATTTTCATTAGATATTGATGAACAATGGAATCGTATTGGTGGTCACTATGATTGGCCAGAATATGAAGTATTACCTAAATCACATTGGAATTATGGTTTAATTTTAACAAATGATGATCATGACTTAATTATTCAACGTCGAAAGAAAACAAATGATCATCTTAATCCATTTACTCGTACAAATGTACCTTTACAACTTCAAGTTCGTGCTCGACGGATTCCGACTTGGAAAGCAGATGATCAAAATGTAGTTGGACTTTTACCCCAATCTCCAGTTACAAGTTCCGAACCTGATGAATTGATTAAACTTATACCGATGGGTGCAGCTCGTCTTCGTATCACAGCTTTTCCTACAATCTCTCAATAAATCTATTAATTTTTATTGATTTCATATTACATCAAGATTGATGTTCGATTTAAAAATTTTCAGTTGTAAATCATGTCAATTTTATGTTGATTAACTGTCAAATGAGCATAGAAATTTGCCAACATAGAATGAAAAAAAGAGAATAAGAAATTGATTGTGAATAATTTCTATCTTATAGATCAAAAAAAATCATTCAAGTGGTTGGGTATGGGTGTTTAAACTTGCGAGTGTTTGATGGATCAACTCGAGCTCATGCCTACACACACCCTCTGAAGATCGTCAGAATTTTTTGTTTTTTTTTAAACTTCTCAGTTTTTGCAGATTTCCACAGTTTGTCGAATTTAGGTTTGAAATTATGGGCTTATGTCAAGAGGAATATTTTTTGTTTTTTCTCGGTTATATATGGAACGAAATTGGTTAGATGTTGATATATCTTATCTGATTGTTGTTCGTGGTAACTTCACATTGATAAAGTTATCTTCATTCATTTTACTTATCGCAGAAAAAAAGCACGTTTATATCCAGTCTCAAAAGGTCAACATCGTCAATGAAATCTGCTGAGAAAGTGAAGAAGCAAGAAGAATACTTATTACAAAGTAAATGGTTGATACGTAAATGTAGTCAATATTGCGCACAACAAAACAAAGAAACCCGAAATCTATGGATTCAATTTACTGAAACTTTATTCTAAAGTTCGAAATGTAATGTTAGCCTGAATTGCTTAACGACTATCATACGTTTTTGTGGCACTTTTTTTTAAACTTCATTTTTAAGAAAATCGTACTCTAAAATATGCTGAGGAAAATGTAAGACAAACTGTGTGCAGGTTTGTAGTACTAGTGAATATTTTCATTTGCATATTCGAATAGTTATTTTGTAAAAGATACTAGAGTTATTTATTCGAAATTTCTATATCACATGATATGCTCGATGTGCATGTTTCGTTTCTATGTGGTTCACTAGTTTGCGAGTGTGGGTATGAGTGTGCGAAAAGAAATGAGCTAAACCCACATCCACTTATTCCTCTGGAAAGTTTTTAAACACGATTTTAGCTTACCGAAAAACTATGGTTCATCAGTTGTGAATATGACGAATCTTATGAACGAACTTTATTTTCAAATAGAAAGTACTATGGATTTAAAATACATCTGACATATGTAAGCGTCAACTAAAATTGGATTGAAGTTCGAATAGAATCGAATCAAACTTCATGCAATTCAAATTTTTGTTTTTTCTTTCATTCAAAATCTTCGCTAAATGACGTTACTTTTTCAATAGCTCAATAACTACTTTGCATCATAAAGTAATCGAAAACTTAAAAAAAAACCTAGTCTACAAAATTTGTTTTATATTGTCTTTTGTTGCTTCTTTTAAAATTGAAAATCATTAAACCCAATGTAAACTATTGATTGAACTGGAATGTGTGCGAAATTAAACGTTTTTTATAGGCGAAGTATTGTTCAATTAAAGAGACTTTTGACTTATGCAGAAGTGAGAATTTTCGTTTTTTCATTAGAGTTACTCGTAGTATTATCTTGGTAAACATCATACCCAATAGATTTCACATTCCAGTAAACCTTCCTAAAAATTTGATGTATCAATATAAAACCACAGACACTGTTTATTATAAGTCGATTCATTTTGTCTTTAGATTAGAAGAAGATTAAATTTAATGCATTTTAACATGTGAATCAGATTATCGAAGTACATTTCTGAAACTCTGAATTCAAGACTTATTCAAAGTACTAAGAAAAGAAACTTTTAACTCAATAATATCAAAGCTACAAAAACTAGCTTTTTTCATCTCTCGTCATACCTTTCAACGACTTTCTCGATTTATGCTGAATATCAGAGAATGAATCACTTTTCTAGCTATATATTTCTTTCATCAACACTTATACTTCGTTCGCTTGAATCTTACATAAATATTCTATCGATATTAATCATGATCAATGTCAAAGTCAAGAAAAAATCATGTGCACGTGCGTATCATTGTTCGTAATGGATATTAAAATGACACAATATGAGGAGGAAAAACTTATTTTTATAGGCCTTAGGATTTCAAACTCATTTCATATTAGAACGTTCAAAATACAAACGTCGAGGTAAACAATAAAATAGCATGTCGATATGTCTGTTATGGACAGTTGGCAAGCTGAGGAAATAAGAAGTGCTTTTTTTGCTATGTTCTTCAATACTCATTGACAATCGTGTTTTAGAAAATTTCATGCATAAAAAAAGCTGCATTTGTTTTTTCTAACGTCGATATCTAGTATATATTGCCATTGATCATAGAATTAAAAGAGATGTGGGTGTGGACATTCTGTACATCCACACACGCTTAGTCTATCAGGCGTGTCATTGACATTCATGGCGTTTTGCTGGTACTTGCAGCGGTGATAGACATCCCTGGACATCTGATAGCTACCTATCAGTGGGATATAAAATTTCACTGATCGATGAAATGTTCGATCGCATTTCCAACACACAAGAAGCATTTCGTCTTCAAATACCGTTGGTGATTACACAATAATTGATGCAAATACTCTCAGTGTAAACAAGGCAAGACTGCCTAGGATGTGGATGTCGGTGTCTATATTAAAGTTGTTATGAATGTGGTCGCGGGCGTTGATGGACGTATCAGTGTACATGTGAATGTCGTTATTTTTGTCAACCGCATTATCCGATCTGTGATTGTATGAAATTTAGAACTTCCATTATGTTAGTCATTACATGAAGCAACATACTATTATATGCAGTTTTTTTCAAATCTTACTAACATTATTTTAATTCTTTTTTCGTTTATTTTGCTCATTATATATTTACAAATAAAGTAAAAGAAATAAAAGAAACCTTGATTATAAATAGAAAATGAAACTTATAGAAAAATGCTCCAACCAACAAATTTTATGCGAATTTATTTTCGATTTTCTATCTTCTAGAATATCGTTCTTTTCTAGAAAGTAGAAATTCATTGTTGGATTCATATGGACATTGCTAGAATATTCTTTTTTTGTTCTCAATAAATTATTTTATATTTTACAGTATATTTCTGATTACGTCACTGATGAGGAGGAATATTAAAATTCAGTAGAGTTCGCAAACTGTTACAATTAATGAATGATGGCTTTTGGAAAGATTTTAGTAAAAAGATTAGAAAGCTCCATTTTAGTTGTATCGTCGGTTTTGTCGAAAAATGTAAATATGGTTACGTAACTCAAACGATTGACGATAGCTTTCAGACGATTATCCGTCTTGACCAATTCGAGTAATTCTCTTCCCAATTGCAGTTTCTGTACATTTGACCTACGTCCTAGATATAAACTTCTAACGTTTGGAGCTAACATAAGCCATATAATGAGTGACATGCCATCTGGTAAATCATAATCAGAATGCCACATACTGAAGCTTGTTACATGAGGCAATACGGAAGTGTTTTGTGTTGTTTTGATAATCTGTAAAGTATCAAATAATTAGAAAGAAAAACATTGAATTTCTTCACTCGTTCACACGAATGATCTTGTAAAAAACAGAAACTGACCTGTTCATAAAGTGTATGTGGAGAGGGAAATGTCCAATATTTGAATTCTAGCTCTTGATGACGTGATTGAAAGGCGCGACCGATAAAATGCAAAAAATCTAGAGTAACAGGTTGTCGATTATTGTTACAGAAAACAATTGATATCACTTTAGTGAATTGAATAAACGATGAATCAAGTTGACCTTTGTTAAGTAACCACATCTTCAAATCAGTCGACAGCGAGATTTTGCGTCTGAAAGAACAGGGCATCGAAGCGATCACTATATGACCACTATCGTCGCGTTGAACGAATACTGGTGGCCAGTAAGCGTCGAGCCACCACTCACTTTGGAACTGATGCAATAACTCAACCATGTCAATATTGTTGTCGGTATACTCAAATCGAAATTCGAATTTCTTGAGTTGTCGACAAGGTCGAAGCAATGTCTCTAAACCTTGTCCGTCAGTTGGATTAGAGGCATAGGAAATAAGCTTGAATTGCTGTAGAGATGATTGGCATCCCTCGATTAGCCACTTAATAGAATTAAAATCTGATTGATAGTCGTCGAAAGTGATATGCAATCGAGTTAGAAACGCAGGACTAGGAATAAGCGTCACAATTAAATCGGTATCGGGTTCATAGTTATCGGGAGCTGCCTGATAGATGCGAAGATCTGTCAAATGGGGTGTCAGACCACACACATAGATCCAATCTTCTACAGATGATACACTAATGTGTAAGCACTCTATGGCTGTACATGGTAAAGTGTTTAAAAAAGCATCCATCTAAAAACTCTTCATTCAATATACAATTTCATCATGCTCTACAATCACATACTTGACAATTCGCAGTGCGATCTATACACTGAGTTTCAAAAAGAGGTGACATTTGCTCGCCAAAATCTGACACCCAAGCATTGTATAAGCGAAGAAGATTCAAGCATGAGATAACAGCACCCAAGGCAGAATAATGCTCGACGTTCAGTTTGGCGATGAACTCTCCCTCCCTGTTGAGGATAATTGAACGAAGATTTGGATATGAATGTGTACATGAAAAGACACGAGGGATTGATTCGACTTCAAGAGTGATTATCTCGACTGTATCCTGAACACGAGGCATGTAATTCATAAACCAATCCGCTCGTGTATCAGCAGGAATAGTGAAATGACGAACCAATTCCATTACGAGAGAATTGAAACGATGATTGAGACCAAAAAATGCACAAACTATATCGGGCTGATTAATATAAAAAAATATTTGAGAAAAAATTTCGTTTGGTAGTATTTCAAGGCTACTATTGAACAGAAACATCAATACAAATATGAGTATATCTGACAAAAAAATTTAGCAAATTTATTATTCTTACCTTTTCAAATTACTGACATCGACTCTATGTTCTTGCTCAACAGAATTATAAAACAGAACTGTAGGACTTTCCTGAATGATACTGTCGGATGTGGCCTTCACAACAGTTGAATG